GCCCCTGAGGCCCGCATGATGCTGGTCAAGGGCGCCTCCGCCGAGGGCCGCATGCTCAAGTCCAAGGCCATGACCAAGGAGGGCGGCGCTGAGATCGTCGACATGGGCTTCGACATGGACGAGCCCGGCCGCTACGTGTACCACTTCAAGACCAACAACGGCATCGCCATGATGGAGCAGGCCGCCCTGGAGAAGGACGCCGGCAAGGTGCAGGGCTCCTACGAGTGGACCAGCCCCGAGGGTCAGAACTTCAAGGTGGAGTACGTGGCCGACGAGCTCGGCTATCACCCCGTGGCCGCTCACCTGCCCGTCGCCCCCGAGATCCCCGTGGCCATCCAGCGCTCCCTGGAGTGGAACGCCGCCCACCCCGAGGAGGACAAGGAGGCTGAAATGTACATGGCTAAGATGGCCTAATTAGCTCCGACAGGATCGGTAGTTAATGGTTTTCTTTTAACCAGGGGGAGAATCAAGCAAGACTGATGTATGAATGTACAGTACAGTAAATATAAACTGTCAATAAAATATTGCCTACAACACAATAGCGTGCGTTTTATCCACCTTTGTGCCCCGACTCAGAAACGGCTGACCTTGTATCCAACATTCTTATTTACCCTGCATAATCATGCCTCTGAATGCCAGTTACCCTGGCAGAAATTAGTTGTGCTCCGGGGATTGCGCTGCGGAGTCTGTGGCGAATCGGGGCGGGCTGGGCTGGGCCATGCGCCGTGGCACACTCACATTAATCACTTCTGCAACAATAAGCATCGGGCTGGAATCGTAGTAGCGGCAGCAGGAGCAGGTTTGTGCTTCGCTCGCTCCACTCCACGCTGCTGCCTGCGGGGCTGGGGTGGGTCTGTGTCCCGCGGCGGAGGGGCCTGGCGCGCGGTGCGCGGGGTGCGGTGTAGGTTCAGGTGCCTCACTCACTCCGCGTGGATGGAGCAAGCTCAGCGGGAAGCAGCAACGGCTCAATCATTTAGCTTCTCCCGATGTGTTCATGTTTCACGGTAAATTCCGGCGCCGCTATCAGAGTATCAGAGCCGGGCATTCCCTGCCTACCTTTCGCAAGTTCACTGTGCGTGGTTGTCGCAGAACAACGCGCTGCTGCCTGTGGAGGTGAGGTAGTCCGGGGGTAGGAGGTGGGGGTGCCGAGGGGCTGTGCAGCCGGTGGCGCGCGGGGTGGGTAGACGCATCACGGGTGTGACTCGACCCCCTGCAGCCTGTCATCAATCATATGGGTCTGTCTGCCTGTGGACACGGCCGGGGCGGGCTGCGGCCGGGGGTTGGGGGTGCAGCAGCAGTCTCCACAGCCCCAGTGCCCCACTGCCAAGTTGTTTGCATGATAGTGGTCCGGCAGCGGTCTTGGTCGGCCCGTCGCTCGTTCTGTCCTGGCGGTGCCCCTCGGTACGCGCGGGGCACCGCCGGCCCTGTCCGTCACGCGGCTGTGGACCAAAGAGGCTAGACCCTGCCTCACCTCATCTTAGCCGAGCCCCACCTCTCGTGCTCCCCACCCGCCCCGTTTCACAATTTTCCGACGCTCTCTTTATCTTCTATATGAACAATTTTTCATCCCCGCCGTCCCGGCGGCCCTGGCGCTGTGGATACACCCCTTCCCGCCAGCCTCCATCCAAACATGATCCTGTAGCCAAACACCGACCCCCATCCATCCAACTTTCACCTTAAACACGGTGCCCTCCTCCACCTCCTCTCCGGTCCAGGTGCGGCGCCCCGGCGGGCGAATGCAGCAAATCAGC